CCATTTCCAATTGCCTGCATCTGGTTCCTGCCTAGCAACATCCTCCAGATCATGAGATCGGTTTTTTAAGGCCTCAACAAAAATCCCTGACAGCTCTACATTACCAATGGCAGTGCTGCAATCATCATTCCTTTTATCTCTTCATCATCACAAGGTAAACAAGTTCATATGGCACTTAGGGTTTCATAACAGACAAATTCCGTACATCTCCTTTGTGTGGCCATCTCGTTTTTGATCTACATCGTTGAACATTCTTGAAAAACTTATTTGTCTCCACTCTCAACATACTATGGACTTCCATGTGTCATTGAATTGTTGCTGGAAGAAATTTGCCATGTGGTATGCTTTCGACAGAATGCTGTACACACCAGCAGCTGCTTGTATGCTTTAAGACATCGAAAACTTCACGAATAAAACACCATCTCTTCTGTGTTCTTCCCTTTCTCGTTACCAGCAGCTCATCACCACAGCATCAGCAAAACAAGGTCATGTATGCAACAAAAGCTTCAATTTAGCCCATTTCAATACAAAATAACATATATTCACATTAACACATCACCAAAGACGAAGGATACCATTTTTATACATTTTCAGTATTCTAAGCATGCATTTCGACTCCAATGCTCCAATTAGGGATAATATATAACCAATAAAACCAATTATAGTTCATAATGAATATAAATAGAAGTTCTCTCCCTTTTTATAAGGGGCTCCAACTATTTCAAGAAGACTATATACAAGAACTTTATAGGTTTTACTGCACGGGTCCCTAGATTACTACAGATATCATCAACTATGCTGTTATAGCTGTGAAAATACAAAATTGCTGCCAGGACCGATATTTGAAATAGTGGTTATAGCGGTCCAAAAATAGCGGTTCATATAATATTTCTTAGAAGTATATATAATTATATATATAATATGGCTACATAAACATATCATTTGCAAAATAGGAAAAGTGTTCATAAACGAGCTAATTGCAAGCAATAGGTTCAACATCTGAGTCAACATCATCTAATACGTTTACTTTCGTTTTGGCTAGCTTCCCACTCTTCCCCTCCTCTCCCTTCATCTCCTGCATGATCATCATCATCATCCCCATAGCGCTTCTTTTTACTTCTTGTACTTGGCCCAACTTGTTCATTACCTCCCATTGCTTCTCGTACTTTTGACCAAAGGAGGCCATTTCTTGCATCCACAAACTCTTGCAGCTCGACGTATTTTGGAACCACCCAATCATCATTTTCTTCCACATCCCTCAAGAAAATAGGATCTGAAGATTTGTTATCCCTAAGAGATTTGTAGCGCCTCTCTAGTCTTTTGTTATATTGAATGAATACAAGATCATTCAACTTCTTTTGCAAAAGACCATTTCTCTTCTTAGAGTGCAACTGAAATGATAATTGATAAATTTAAAAATCATTACTTGAATTAAAGTTGCATTTGAACTAATACATTTTCCATAACCAAGAAAACTTACATGATCAAATGCACTCCAATTCAGCTCACAAGGAGAAGCGCTACAAGTGTGGCTTAGAACACTAATCGCAAATTGTTGGAGCACAGGTGTGTCAATGCCATAAGAACACCACCATACATCTATATTTTATAGGTATATTAAGTTAATAAAAAACACATACATAAACTTTTGAATATGTATGTATATATCTATTATCTATCTATATATAATATATTAGATTGATTATCATACTTACATGGTGCAACTTTAGCTCTATTCCTTATGGCAGCCGTAGATCCAAATTTCCCCGATGACTCGACATATTGATTAAGTTCCATCCTTAAAGTATCATTTCTTTTTTCATCATGCATAAGTCGGTCAATTGCATCGTATAGTCCCGTCTTAATGTATCTATCATTCTCAACTTCTGAATCTTGTGCATAATAGATGGCGGGGTTGGGGTAATATCCAACTACAAATGTACTAAAAGTTAATACCAATGCTTTAAGTTAAATAAAACATAACAATGTTTTGTAAATTATACCTGCATGCAAAGGATGATGAAGTTGGTCACTCCAACGTGCTTGAATTATAGACCACACTCTAGTGATCAATCTCTCGTGAGTAGTGCTGGTCAAGTTCTTCTTAATTTGATCTTTTGCGCTTTCCATAGCATCTTATATATAACCCATACACGGCTTTTCCTTCGTGTCAACTAACCGAACCACATAAACCAATGGTGCCAGTACCTGACAAGCAAGATAAATAATGTCCCAGAACTCTTGCTTAACTATTATTCTTTCAATTCTTTTTCCGATGGCTTTCTTGGCAAAGTCACTCTTCCTCCATTGTTTCGAAGCAAATATCACTTGGAGATGCCGGTTCTCATGAATGCTCTGAATGGTGTAGAATTGTGTTGCAAACCTTGTAACACAAGACCTATGTAATTCCCTATTTTTAGTGAGCCTCCGCATCATATTCAGAATTCTTTCGTGGTTACAGATATAAACCCTACCGCTCTCGCATTGGACACCTCCTATCATAATATTCACGCAATGTGCTGCTCATGGTGTCCAAAACATCTGAGGATGTTGTTCTTCCAAGATTTTTCCTGCTTCTTTAAAGTTGGACCCATTATTGGTTCATTATTGGTAACAAACTAGCATAAGTAAAAAAACAATTAGTCAATACTTTAATATATATAGAGTATGTTAATACTTATAGATAGAATATTTGTCACCTACTCACTTGCACAATGTTCTCCTCTCCGACATCGTCTATAACCTCATTGATCATCTTTACAATTAATTGAGCATCTTTCACATGCTCCGATGTATCAATTGATTTAAAAAATTGTTTCCTTTAGGACAATTGACCAAAAAGTTTATCAAGCTTTGACCTTTCCTGTCTGTCCAAAAATCAGACATAATAGTGCATTTACTCTTCTTCCAATGTGAACGAAAGGAATCAACAAACTTGTTTGTATCCTCGAGTACATCCTTCAACAAAGTGACACGAATGTTGTGATAACTCGGAGCTGGCATGCCTACCAATGATAGGAATAAAGTTAGTAATTACGTCATTTATAAACTTTTGACATATATTCAAAATTTGAAATGGTAATTACCTCTTCCATACACTCCAATGGCATTTATAAACTTTTGAAAGTTCTCGTTGTGCACGGCATTGAAAGGAAACCCAACTGAATATGCCCAAACCGCAAACTCTTTCCAAGCGGCCATCTTTAACTTCTCCTTGATTGTGTTATTTCTATCTAAAGTGGTTTGTTTTATCTTGCCATAGTTGGGCTTCAACATTGAATCAAGAGGACCGCGAACATCACTAGCGGCCTTTCGTTTCAAACTACGAGATGGCTTGTCGGCTTGTGCTCTCCTTCCTTCAATAAATTCTATTTCATCTTATTCTTTCCCGTCATCATATCATCATCACCATCACCATCATCTTCACCATCACCATCATCTTCACCGTGTTCAACCACGTATTATCGAAGAATTCTACTCTTCTATTTCTTTCTTTCTTTTGCTTATTCTTTTCATTCGTCGATTCAAGAACTCTTTTCTTGATGTCATCAGTCACATTAGGACAACCAACCACATTACCTCCGGTGTGAGTAAGATGTTCTTTCAATCTAGTGATCCCTGCACTTACTATTTTACAGCACAAAGTACACCATACATTATTCTTTTTGGTTGGATCTTTCCGTMCCCCTCATTCCCAAGCCATATCACCATTGATGCATTTTGTACCCACATCTGATGAAGTAGTAGTAGTATTCAGAGTCACAGATGCACTTGAAGATTGATCCCCTTCTCTACTTTCCATTAGTTCCTTTAGCTAAGCCCTAACAAAGCTAAGTCCTAACAAGCAACTGAGTAAGTGACTAACAACAAACCAAACAGAAGCTGGAGCAAACAAGAATAAAGCAGATGAGATCAGAAGCTAGAAATAAAAGTTGGAAACAGATGAGATCAGATCGCCGAACAGATTGTCGTGGTACCCGGAGACAGAAGCTGGAAATAGAAGTTGGAACTTGGAAACAGAAGCTAGAAGTAGTGGTCGTCTAAAGCAGATGAGATCAGATCATCGGATTCGTTGCTGAACAGATTGTCGATGAGATCAGATCGTCTAAAGCTAGAAGTCGTGGTCGTCTAAGTGAGAAACCTAGTTCTTAAATCCCAAAAAAAGCCTTGACTAACGTTAACAGAAGCTAGAAGTCGTGGTCGTCTAAAGCCCAAGACTGAAAATAAAGCCCAAACCCACCAAAAACTAACGTTAATATCGAACGCAATTTACTCTAAATATCGGTCAAAATTGCGGTAAATTGCGCCGATAATTGCGCTACTGCAATTTGACCACCGATATTTTGCAAAGGACCGCTATCTGAGATATTGCAGTGCTATTGCACCGCAATTAACAGCATAGATCATCAATATCTACAACACATACAAGAGTGGTTGGAAACATCATGGAGAACTTTATACTATCCTGGAACATTGTAGGGCTTTCTAGGTTGTTATGAAGTCTTCTTTACTGGATCTTTGTCGCATGCATCAACTGAATGTTTATGTGGTGACTGGACATCATACCTGTAGCTGAAGAGTGCTGTCTGTGAAATTGGGTAAGTAAATTCAATGGATGCCAGCATCTCCTATTTCTAGTGAGAAGAGAGCATGTCTAGGTGGGGTTTTGATCAGTACCAAAAGTTGTTAGGTGAGAGCATGTTTCAAAATTTATATTTTCTCCTCCTTGATTGTTGTTATCATCATGAAAGCAATTGCATAGGATTTTCTCACAAAGACGTAGAGCAAGGAATGAGATTCCAATGGCACAGTTGTCACAATCTTCCTTAGCAACTCTATTCCCATTTTGACTTGAATATTCTGGACTCTTATATCCTTCCATTTCTTTTTAGTGGATTCATGACATGCCATTATTGTTATTGTTGTAGTGAACATTAGTTAATTGCCTTATCTCATCTAGTTTTGCTTACATGATCCTGGAAAACTGTTTTTCGAGCCAGGTTTTTGGTATCTGTATTTGATTGGATTGGACCCTGTAGATAAATGTGCTTGGAGTTATGAGATTATACCTTGCATGGGGTGATATTGATTGGGTTCATCCTCGTAAACTGGTGCAAAGACAAGATGCCATATAATTACTTCTCAAGACTCAGAAGTTCGTTCAGGCATGGGATTCAGAGAACCAATGCTTCTCTAGGAGGTGATTTTCAGGACTCGCTGGAAGTTCTACTTGGTCATGGGAAACTTTTGTTTGGTAAACCTAGGTTTTACTCCGGACCATTTGTAGAATCTGGTGACCTAAATGTTCTACTTCAGCGCTGTACTCCTTGTGCTGCTCAATTGAACTTGCTGCCCGCAAGTAAAAAGAAGAACCTTTCGGTTATTGGAGCTGTTTCACGGACATTCTCAACCCCATCAGTGTCAGGACCATCACTTCAAGTTTGTGGATATCACGTTGATAATCTGCTCTCCGGGCCTGGTCATTTTTCTTTAGGTATTGGCAATCATAAGGTGTCTATGGCTCTTTCCAGTTATAGAGCTTTGCTTGGGGGAGGTTCTCTAAACAACTTAACTGCCACGCATGGGAACCTCATGTTGTCGATTGATAATTCTAATCTCTCTTATGGTAGCAGACGTTTCCATAGTTGCAGAAAGATCAGCATGAATTCGAGAAATAAGAAACAATCGGAGAGTTTCTCTCTCTATGGATACTTTATGTACCATGTTGCCAAGACAAGTGGTAGCTGCAATCAGTTTCTAGGTTTTGAATGGAAGAGCTTCCACATCTCATCTCTGGCATGTTTAACTGCTGGAACATCCCCTGATGGGTTCTCAGACAACTGTGTACATGATGATCAGCTTACAAATTCTGCAGATTCTTCTGATAGGTAATGTTTTGTTTCAAATGCGGCAGGTCTGTTCGATAGTTATGACTTCCTTTTATGATCATTAAAGAATATGAAAATAATTTAAACTCGTACCCGTCACTAAGACATAATTTCTGGTGCAACTGTGTTGTCCTCTGAAATTCATGTATCACTTGGTGTCGACTGCAGGAAGACCTTATCAGACCGATCGCTCAAGTTGCTTTCAGGATCATGCTATCTGCCTCATCCTGAGAAGGAGGAAACAGGTGGTGAGGATGCTCACTTTATTTGTTCTGATGAGCAAGCAATAGGTGTAGCAGATGGTGTAGGTGGCTGGGCTGATCTTGGTATTGACGCTGGAAAATATGCACGGGAACTAATGTCCAATTCGGTAAGTGCTGTACAAGATGAACCCCAGGGTTCTGTTGATCCTGCCAGGGTTTTGGAGAAAGCTTACACAAACACTAAAGCCAAAGGATCCTCAACTGCTTGCATTATTGCACTCACAAATCAGGTAGCAATATATTCCAATCAGTCTAAGCATAAGGCAGTCTCTGAAGCCATTTTATAATTTTTTATGGGCATCACTGAATAGGACATGAATGTAAGAACTGGAAAAATAAACTACAGAGCTATCAACTCTTGCCTAGCAGTCCTTTTCCAAAAAGGAACTCTTCCCTAGCAGCCACCTTGAGTTTTCTTATGCTTCAAGGGTTTTGAGATGATGTAACGCTAATTCATGTACTCTATTTGCAGGGTCTTAATGCCATTAACTTAGGTGATAGTGGTTTCATGATAGTTAGAGATGGATGTACCGTTTTCCGGTCCCCTGCACAACAGCATGATTTTAATTTCACTTATCAACTGGAGAACGGCAGTAATAGTGATTTGCCCAGCTCTGGTCAGGTTCGTAAGTTTGCCATGTTTTTGTTCTGTTTGATATGGTACACATGTAGCTATAGATCTGTGAGTTCTTTTTATTACATTGACTTGAATTATAATTAGCGAGTTTGATTATCATAGATAGATGAGAAATGTTGATCAGAATTCAATAACATTAGTTGTGTTTTTGTGCCCTGGCATTGTTTCACATTTATCCCGTTCTTGATATAGGATCTGCTTATTGCACGAACATTTTTGTGTCGAAGGATATAAAATATTTTCAGTAATTGAATTTTCGAATACCCTGACATGTGTATGCCTTTGTTCAATAATTTCCAAAATAACACATAGAAGTTACTTCTTCCTTAAAATCATATCTAGCTAGTATATTATTTCTTCATAACAGTCAAATCCAATCTTTTGGTTTGTTCAATAATTTTTACAGTTTGTACACTCAGATTTAGCTTTTTAGATTTGATTAGAAAAAAAAGGTGGAACTAATATACATGAAGCAAATGATGACGCAGGTATTCTCAATTCCTGTTGCTCCGGGAGATGTAATAATAGCAGGCACAGATGGACTGTTTGATAATTTGTACAACAATGATATCACTGCGGTGGTGGTTCATGCGGTGCGAGCTGGTTTGGATCCCCAGGTGACGGCTCAAAAGATAGCAGCGTTGGCACGACAAAGGGCACAGGAAAGGGACAGGCAAACACCTTTCTCTGCTGCAGCCCAAGAAGCTGGGTTTCGTTACTATGGTGGGAAGCTTGATGACATTACCGTTGTTGTCTCCTATATCACCTCTTTCAAAGATGTAAGCCCTCTTCTCTCTATCTCTCTATCTATCACACACATACACATAAACATAACATGACACAAGTAGTTTGCATGCATCAACACGACACAATACATAACATGACGTGTTTTGAATACTCGTGTACTGATTGGCTTGCAGGATGAGTCTTCGTCATCAAGTTCTCGTTAGGAGATTCCTTTAAAGCAATTCAGTGATTATGGTAGTGTTCTATGAGTTGGAAATTGAATAGTTGTATATAAACATAACAGCAACAGATGTGAAGGCTTTTTGTTCAAGTTTGTAATTTGGTTCCATGTTTTTAGGAGGGTTGATAACAGATGAAATGAGGCAATAATTTGTATCACAGACCATGGACCGGCTAGCAATATGATTGGTTAAATTAAAGAAGGGACAAGTATTCGGCATGCGGTACAGGCGATCTCTTTGCTTGGTAAATTGGATCAAACTAAAAAAGGCCAAACAAGCTAATTATAGCTAGTGAGTTGGTCTGAACTGAAACCATCTATGGATGAAAGTGGTGGTAGGAAAAATGATATGAAAAGAAATACAACAGTACCAGGATGTTCCAGGTTTAAATCTAAAGAGGAATAAAAATTCTTGTGGCCACGGAGGTTCAAATGTGGTGACTCTGGGCTATCTGCAAAACAGGTGGTCGTCCTGGGATTAGTCGGCTCGCATAGTGGGTTGGATATCTAGGTTAATTAAAAAAAAAAAAAGAAATACAACAACAATTCTAATGATGATGCTAAAATATATTGTGAAAGTGGAGGTTAACATAATCAAAATGTATGTAGTTTTGGTGGATCATCAACCAAACATAATTTTGAAAAAACTGGTTAATAGTATACACTAACAGGAACAAGATGATTGAATTGGAAATATCGACAAATTCTTGTGCAGCTCAAAATGATTGAACTTAATGTTCTAATTTTGATTCAAATGAAAGAAAGTATATTAATCCGAATCGCCGATTGTATAAATGGAAGAAAAAAGGGAACGAGATCGTGACGAGGTTGTTGTGAACTCCAACTAGGTAAGAGTAATCATCTTCACTTATCGGGATGGTTTTTATCATGCTCACCTGATTAGATAAGTGATCTGATAAGTGTTTATCCGATCAGCATTTGGTAGATGACCCTTGTAGCGGACTTATTCAGCGGTGATTAGAGCTTGTCCAATTTTTAAATATTTTGGTTTTTTTAATAAGCCATTGGATCCCACTATTTATTTAACCGTCAAGTTGATGCATAAAACCGTTTTGTGGTGGCAGTTCATGGTCCAAAAGTCAAAAGCAGACAGTCAACCACCTGAAATGTCAACAAGCATACCACCAACTACTGGCAGTCGAGCCAGATGCAAAGCTAATCAATCACCTCTCTCTAGATCCGAATCATTGTACAATGGCGGGTCCTGCGGGTCGGAGAGACAAGAACACAGTTCAATCGATACGTGGAACCCGAATCGCCGTTGCAATTGTGATCGGAATTCTATTCGGAGGCATCTTCGCTTTTTTGTACCCTCATGGTCTCTTCTCTCCGATTCAAACTTCTCCATTTCAAGGTCGCCGTCTTTCCAAATCGATTCTCCAGGTTGATTTTTTCGTGAATTTACAAGTCAAATCAAATTCAATGTCTATTGTACTTGCTTTGTTAGGGTTTAAATTTTGTAAGTAAACGAAGCATTTCTGACTTTTTGCTCACAATATGTTCGACCTTTTGCCTACTAAATCAAGAGTTCATCTTGATGGTAGAATGGTTACCAAAACTTATTCCTTTTAAATTTCAATTTGATCTCTTACGACGATGCGTTGTTAGTCTGTAAGCTTTCTACTTTTGAGTTCCTGTCTCCAAGTCAAACAGAATAAAGAAAAAAATCAGCATCGTTTTTTACTCCCCCCTTTTCAGCCCTGTACAATGATCATGGTTTGCTTCTTAATTACCCATGTTGGTTGTTTGATTTGAGAACCCATTGAATTTCAAACTCTTGTGAAACTCGAAACATAAGGAAGAAACATGCTTCTTTTAAATTCTTAGTGGATGTCCAAAGAAAAATTGTAATTTATGGTTTTCTAAATCAATTTTATGAGACTTATAATAAAGGGGTCTCTGTTTTCAGATTGGATCAACTGCATGTGAATCCACAGAGAGAATGAACATGTTGAAATCAGACATTATAGATTTATCGAGGAAGAACGATGAGTTAAAGAAGCAGGTTAGGGATTTAACTCAAAAATTGATGGCAGCTGAACAGAAAAACGGAAAGGCTGAGCAGCAAGTTGAGGTGATCGGTGATCCCCAAAAAGCTGGGCCTTTCGGTAGTGTCAAGGGTATAAGAACCAACCCTATGGTCCTTCCAGACAGCACTGTAAACCCGAGACTTGCAAAAATCTTGAAAAAGATCGCCGTTCAAAATGAGCTTATAGTTGTACTTGCAAATTCTAACGTTAAAGCCATGTTGGAGGTGTGGTTCATCAGCATTAAGAAAGTAGGCATACCCAATTATCTAGTGGTGGCTTTAGACGATGGGATTGTGGATTTTTGCAAAGAAAACAGCATACCCTTTTACATGCGAGATCCAGATGAGGGTATCGATTCAGTGGCTAAAACAGGTGGTAATCATGCCGTTTCAGGATTGAAGTTCAGAATCTTGAGGGAGTTTTTGCAGTTGGGTTACAGTGTTCTTCTGTCGGATGTTGATATTGTATACATACAGAACCCTTTTGATCATATCTATAGGGATTCAGATGTTGAATCTATGTCTGATGGACATGATAATATGACTGCATACGGATATAACGATGTTTCTGATGATCCTTCTATGGGGTGGGCTAGATATGCTCATACGATGCGAATATGGGTCTATAACTCTGGATTTTTCTATCTACGACCTACTTTACCTGCACTCGAGCTTTTAGATCGTGTGGCTGAGAGGCTCTCCCACCCACCACCGGCTTGGGATCAGGCTGTTTTCAATGAAGAGCTGTTCTTCCCGTCTCATCCGGGTTACATTGGGCTTCATGCTTCCAAGAGAACGATGGATCGTTATCTGTTTATGAACAGTAAGACCCTTTTCAAGGAAGTAAGAAAAGATGGTGATTTAAACAAGATGAAGCCTGTGATTGTTCATATAAATTATCATCCAGATAAGTTACCCAGAATGAAAGCAGTCATGGAGTTCTATTTCGATGGGAAGAAAGATGCATTGGAACCGTTTCCTGATGGCTCCGAGTGAAGATAACCAGGTGCCCAATGTTGTCATGGTTTCCAGCTTCTCTGGTCGTATCAGGTAACCATTTTGAAGGTAGAAGAATACTGTACTTGTTATTTAGTGTAATATCAAAATTTTCTATTTTGTACCCATTTTACCAGTAACTTGTTAGATCTTGTAGCATTTGGTGATGTGGATATCTTGTTTGCTACATGTTCACGAAAGACTTACGGTGAAGTGGATGATAAACTTGATATCCACGTCGTAAAATGTTACAAGATCGGACGGTGCCGATCAAAATGGATAGAAAATAAGGAAAATTTGATATTTTGTTATACCGATCGAGAAAAAAAAATGGTTATACCAAATAGAAACTAATAAAAAAAAGATTGATGCATTTTACCCATTTCTATATTATGAATCACAAATATGCAAATGTCCGTTTATTTAGTTCCAGTCATCTACATACAACAAGCTGGGTCTTCACGAAAACAGCTGTTGGTTTGGTTTACACAGCTGCATCACATTTATGTTGATCCAAGTCATTCGAACAGTTTGTTCTTGTAGTTCGTAAGTTCTTGAGGAATATAAGTGGAGCATAAGTTTGTAACATCCCACACCAACTGTACCCGATACTCGATACTGTTCGTTTTGTCCATACTTGAACGCAAGATTTTAAAACACGTTTGATATAGGAGAGATATCTAGTCCCTTAAAGCATCTCCAACAGATTCACTAAAATGAAGAACCAAAAGTCAAAATCTTTAAAAAAAAAATTACATTCATCTCCAACAGATTCCCCATTTTGGAGAATCTAATTATAATATAATAACTAAAGAGATTTTGGCCTAGCAGTATGTGAGTGTTTGGCTTCTTAGGAGGTCAGGGGTTGAAACCTCACTAAAGATGACGAGAGTATGTGAGTTTATTTGTTCAATTTGTCGTATATAAATATTATATATACTTAAAAAACATTGATTATAATATTAAAATATTTCATTTATCTACTAAAATATTGTTTCTCTCACTAAGTATTGGTGATTTTACGTGGTAATCATTATTGGGGTGTTCTCTATATTTGGAGAAAAAAATCATTTTCTTTCGTACTTTCTCAATTTTGGAGATTGTTTTAGGGAAGCTGTTCGAGCAAAATATTGACTCAAAATATTCATTTTCTTTATTTTAGAGAAGCTGTTGGAGATGCTCTTATAAAGACAACCTTGTTCCCTTCTCGATCAATGTGGGGTCTTACGGTTTTGTACCCAAAACTCGCTAAGACTATAGGTCATGTGCATATCACTAGAAATGAAAATTTCCGTTCACATTTTTTAATTAGAACTATTCAGCATTGATCAAATATTTAAAATGTTTTTCAATAAAAATGATGTTAAAATAAATAAGCTAAAATCCATCTTACCATTATTTATAGCAATTTTCAATTGGAGAAAGAGTAAATTTGTATTGAAACGTAACGAAAAAGTTTGTTGTATTTATTTTTGAGAGAAGAAATGTATACAAAAACTGATATGAAAGTAGAAAAACGAAAATCAAACATTGATTCACTAAATTAAGACACCCCGAAAGCAAGAGTCTTAAATGAAACTCGGTATTTGAATCGAATGACCCTTAAACATGAATCAAAATCGAATCCATATGAAACATTCTTCACCAACGGTGGAGCCTGGAGGGATGCTCGTGCTCTTTGACTGTATTCGACCAAGTTTAAACTCAGTTTGATCGTTTGGCAAAAAATTTATATAAAATTGAGAGGTTGTTTATCAAACACTTGTAGGGATGTCACTTACTTTACAGGTACCCATAGTAATGACCAAGAATCTTACCTGGTAAAACGTATAACAATGATCGAAAATCTTAACAGTAAGTGAATGAAGATTATCTTACCGGATTACTACTACCAGGTAAGATATGTTCAACAACAATAAGGTAAGTGAAAATGGTGACTGTTATCCGTAAACACTTAACCAAAGGTAAGCTCTTATCTAGTAAACGCCCATGATTTTGACAAGGAAACTCGATAAAAATTCAAGCTAAGCATTTGTAACATCCAAAGAAAAAAAAAATGCGACGAGGGGGTTGAATGTAAATCCTTGGAAGTTGAGGGGGCAAAAAAGCAGAACCCTAAAATTTGAGGCGCCTGTTTGCAAGGAAGTTAAAAGAAATCAATTTTGGGTATGGGGGAAGACGGGCAGCCGTATGGATCAAATATGTCCACGATTTCGCGACTTTGACACCAAATCCCTGCAATAATTGCTGTCATTCTCCATTATTCTTCAAATCAATAAAAAATGGAAGAGAAATCGAGAACGAAAGCTCGGTAGACGAACTTCGACGATTGGAGGTAAGATGCTAAACCAAATCTTGTGCCTTCGTTTTCAGATTTACCATCAAACGTAGGTAGTCTAGAATACAAAGAACGACTGATTGATCTCCAATTTTGAGCCGAAACCCTGTGGCGGTAAACCGAAGCTTTCAAATTAGAAATTGATCGGCTATAGTTGATGAAACTTCATGGTTGTTTCAATAATTCTTGTGCCTAAGTGATTGAAACGTTTGAGCTAAAATGACTCAGATTTGAGCCGATTTCAGCTCCAAATGCTTAGGGTTCTGTAGGATTGTTTGGGATTGTTTATTTAAAAAGATACTTTTGTGTAAAAGTCCTTATCAACTTATACGATGGTAAATTAGAGTTTTATAAAAAATGTTTGAATTAGCTTATGCCGGTACCATACTGGATAAGCTGATAAAATAGATAGAGATATTTTTTTTCTCATCAAAACACTAAAACTCGTTATTGTCGGTACCACACTAAAATAAGTTAATAAGTTAGATGGAAGTAACTCATTAAAAATTTCTTATTACCGGTGCCAAACTGGTATAAGCATTTTTTTCCCCTTCTATCCAAACATTAAAAACTTCTTATTACCGATAGCACACTGAATAAGTTAATAAACAATCTCTAACACCCCTTAGGGTTGATACTTTATTATATTGAAATATTCTTCTATATGTTACTTATGTCCTCATAATTTTTTCATCATCAACTATTGGATACAACTTATTCATACTTCTTAAATCTTATATATATCACATTTAATTAATATTATTAATTTACATATTTATGTTCACAGTTATTGAACATATGTGCGAATGAGTTATACGGAGATGGAAGATAGATTGAAAATATGTGTATATGAAGAGGGTATGTGATAGTGTAATTGTCTAATGTACATATTAATAGAAAGTCAGCAATCATATTAAATCTAAGAAATAAAAGGATAACGGGTTGAGTTGTGTTCAAATAATAGTAACTCAATACCTATGGTTTGAAAATTTTACAACTCGATTAGACATCAGATTGCATTGGATTGAGTTATTTTGCATCGAGTCCATTTAATCGTGTTGGTATGGTTTTTAAGCATCCCTAGTTCTAAGTTGGAGTTGTTTTGGATTCTGGGGCTGGGTTAAAAGAAATTCGTGTTGTCTGTTTTTTTTTTAATTAAGATTTGTTACTTTAAATCATACAAACTGTTGTAGGATAAATGTACCATCGTCTACAAGATATAATGATAAAGATAGAGATAGATACATCAGAGTTAGATTATAACTAAAATATTTCGTATGTTATATACTTATAACTCATCTTTATATAAAAGACTTATGACTAATGAGAATTTCAGATTCTCTCTTTATTGTATTGTTGTTTTATTTTGTTTTTCTTTTTTAACACGTTATCTCATAGTTGTTTTGGATTAGCTTTAAATATATAATTATTTATTATAAATGTCAGTTAATTTTGTGTTTATATATCATTGGTAATGAATAATGTATGTGTTTATGCTAATCAGTTATTTATTTAAATATGATAGTTAACTTATTTTAACAAGGCTTGCCATTTTTAATTTAATAATTTGGGGTAGTTAATGTTTCTTATCTTGATTATATTTTTTATTTTTATAATTAATTTTTAAAAGTTACACTTTTAACCCTTATTAAAACACTAAAAGTTTAAATTTGACGTTATGTCAAAACCATTATTTATTTGAGCTAACGACAAAATCTCTTAAAAATATTATTAAAATATTAAAACATTAAAGTTGGCTTGATAGGCCAAACTCATATTCTTTTTAGCTTAATGTTAAAAACCCTATAATTAACAATGTTATCTTCAAATGAAGTAAATCGCAAGATATCAATTAGATTTTGTCAAATGAGTGTAAATAGCCCTACAGTTTGTAAGGACTTAAGAAATCTATGTGATTCCTCTACTACCTAGAAATCCAATAGATTAAGTGATTTTCTTTTCACAAATTGAAATATTGATGAAGTATTGTCAACAAAATGTAAGTATACAAAAATCTAATATTGTTATGATAATGAAATTCCATGCATAATATAATGATTATAGATCATCATTCATTGTTAATCATATATTCTCCATTATTTACGACTTTCTGGACTATGAAGAACTTGAGAACCATAAGATAGGTTCGGAAAACACAATCAAATATGTAAAAACCATCAAAATCTATTGACCCTAAAAATCGACTCTTGTAGAGACCTTCAAGAATAGAGGGACGCCCCGAAAAGGAAAATGAGAAATATTCATTACCATATACATCCCAAACTAATCATACGGTGGAATGAATCCCACTTGATTACGAGAAGGTAATAAATTTCAACAAAGAAATGTCATGTCTGAAAAATGCATCTTAATCTCTATGGCAAGGAACTCACATAACATGGCGTGATTCTTAACATCATTTCCATCTTTCACATGTCAGCAATTATACTAATGAACGAGTATAAGCTCAAATATAACCTTTAAAAGAAACTCATCAATCTACTACAAGTGGTTGAGAGATATGGCAAGATTCTTTCTAATAACAATGCTAGACATGTTGGAACAAAGAAATTCTTGAGTTCAATAATGCAAATGTTAGATGTGGAAATAACTCCACAAGACAGTGAGTTAAAGACGATTTCACTCACTTGACATCTATACATCACGTGGACAAGATCATAGAAAGGGTCGAGGTCATGGCTAGAATTGGGAAGGATTTTTCAACCCTTAAAGCAGAGATGCAACTACTGCTCATAAGCTAATGGACAATAAAATAAGAAATGTACTAATAATCGATCTTATAAAAAAGAGAACAAGTTGAAAATGAACTATATCATATTTAAAATTGATGGAATATAGGTTTATTTGAAATTTATTATTAGTATTAAATTAACTTCACATATAAAACCGAATATATAATTGTTGTAGATGTAAAGAAATACTTAAAAACAGATACAAAACTCTCAATATTTTCTATTCCGTGTAGGAATGTATCGAGGAGAACTTGAATGTTTTTCTGGAACCTCCCACACAATCTTAAGAGATAGACTAATATTTAATTGAATTAATAGTCTATAATTCC